GGCCACGACGACCAGGAACCTCACGAGGCAGCGTCCGATGTCGATGACCAACCTGATCGTGGACACGACAACGCAGATGAAGACGCTGACATGGAGGATGGTCCCGAGGTCGATTGGGAGGACCCAAAGACCATGTAACTCGCGCGATGGGCTTAGAGAAGGACTATGAGTAGTCCTTGGAGGGCGGATGTAAGGATACGCACCCGCGCTCGCTACCGTATTCGGCCAGTAGATTCCTTATTCGGCTACTCGCTACTATATTCGGACTCTAAGCTATACGGCTCCTTCGGAGCCTTCGAGTTAATCCTCTTCGCATTCATTTTGTCTCTTCTCGTATTCTTCTATTTTCTGTCTCTATCTCTTCTATTCGGTACATGTAATCTCGTAGTATAAAAGCCCAGCCCATGTACCTCATACCTAAGTCTTTTTCGAACACGAATCTCTTGCTACTCATCCCTGTGAGAGACTCGAACGTTGAAGACTTTCCGTGGTGTCGCTTATCTAATCAGCGACCTCACAGTTATAGGCAGTATAACCCTCGGTGTAGGGTAGAGGAACCATTGAAGAGGTCGAGACTATATACGTGCCGAGGTTCGGCAGATGCCAACCATGTGCATCTGCCGTTTTGGGCGGAGAATCCTGCCTTTTTGAGCACGCGCGAGAGCCTGGGGGGGACTTCTGCGACACTGATACTAAACGGGTACAAGCCCAGGCTCCTAAACCACCCGTCCTTAGCGTTCGCGCTCCTCTAATTACTAGGGCAGAAGTGAAATATTATGTAAGAAAATGTATTATATGAGAATTACCGGATACAGAACGAACAAGAGGAGGAGAACGCTATAGGACGGCTGGCACAAATGTCGTCGCCGAGATCCCCGAGGCTGACTAAGCGGACGGTGGCTGAAGCCTCTCAGCAGCGGTTGGCGGGCGATGTAGAGACACCTACCTCGTTGAGCTCACGCAGAACACATACAAACGGGTGCTAAAATAGTTCAAGACCAATGCAAATACCTTTGGTATACCTCTGACACTCAGAGGGGCTTGTCTATAGCAATTATGCCTCTTCAGCCGGATATTCAGCCTTCAGTACTACTGATAACCATTGCATGAGTATACCATTCAGTTAGGACATTTTTACATTACTATAAAGTACACCGAGTGGTAAATCCCAAGGTAATAAGTTGTAAATGGTTGCGTGAAGGCCCGCCGACCGCTGGTGAAAGGCTTCAGCCACCGTCCGCTTTGTCAACCTCGGGGATCTCGGCGACGACATCTGTGCCAGCCGTCCTATAGCGTTCTTAGTCTGCATCCAGTCGCGCGGCACTTGGCACATTAGGCATATTCGGACCCTGTAGTGTCACGTGCACTCATTTAGGACGCGCTCGCTGCAGTGGCGAACGCGAGTATGAGCGCGTTTGAAGCTCTTTCAGGTTGTCCTTTGCCCTCACAATGTGTGTGTAGCCTTATTATGTGTATTCCAGAGCAATAGAGAGGTAAGGGAGACATGAATCCTCATTAACTGCTACATTTCTGCTGTTGCCATGCAGTTTGTGCTGGTATATGATGCTTGCCAATTAAAATATACATTAAATTATCCATACTCTGCTTTAGTCCGGCATATACCCTTCCAATGTGCACCGGGTGCAAGGTGCGAGGGCGCTATGGCTCACAAACACGCCGGGGAGGCAAAAGGATGAGATGGTGTCCAAATTAGGAAGAGCCAGAGGTGCTGAGTCAGCAACTCTTGCCATGGTCCTGTCGCATATTCTGAGTGTTTTGATGCTATGAAAACACATAACTGTACCATTACATGGTATTCAATTGTAGATGCAGTCAAAAGAGAACCTGGTTATGCATCCAGGCAGCGAAAGTAGAGCAGAGAATAGAGGCAAAGGCCGTGGGACAATTCACGTGATGTTGAAATCGGTGAGCCAGCCAAGGCAGGCGCGACTGGAAGCAGACCGTTATGTTGAACTGGGCGCTGACTTAGCTGCCAGGTTCTACAACGTACCAGAACGTACCGGAACCCTCTGGAACATTCTGGTATACTCCATTATTGTACAGGGCACGGAGCTCATGTGGGTCAGTGACATCATAGGTGGAGCTCAGTAGGATTATAGATATTCCACGTAGCTTAGTCAGCCTATGGGCCACAGTGTATATAAACCCTGCAGCTCTGCTGCCTAATGACAAGGGTCGTTTATACGAGCTTTACCAGTAGCTACAGCATCCAACCAATACAGGTGAGTTGTGTAGGGCGCACTGTGCGTGCTGCTGCCTCCATAACTCTTCATCACGTTATATGCCGACCACCCTCCACCTGCCTTATAAGGGAGGCAATACGGTCTGACTTCGGGAGACTATAGCGTTCTCCTCCTCTTGTTCGTTCTGTATCCGGTAATAAATTAAAAATAGATTTGTATTATATAACACTGCACGTGCGCCCTAGTAAAGGAGGAGCGAGAACGCTAAGGACGGATGGTTTAGGAGCCTGGTACAAGCCTCCATTAAAGACAGTTGCTCATCTACTAAGTCTTTTCTAAGAGGCGCAGGATCAAGCCTACCAACGGGTTGCCTTTTCTTGCAATCCTTAGCTGAATGTGCGACTCGGTGTGCATGCAAGTCCGCGAAGCGCATGAACTAGTCGACGAATGCTCGACGCGCAGCTCATGTCTGCCTTCCAAGTTCCAGCGGCAAACGTGGGCTTTCCTCACCTGACGAGCGGGTCCCTCCCTTGAGTCCAATACTAGTGTTTACCTGCGGCAAAGCAGCCACGGCTCTGGCGGAGCGGACGGGCTTCAGAACCAAGAATCCCATCGGCGCGGGATGTCGGTGACGGCCCGGTACTTTTATTGAGCTTGCAATGGTCGGGCACCGGAGTCTCCATGGATAAGCGGGCCGTAGAAAGGATGGTTTCCCGCCTGGAGAGAACCCGTCATTCGCGAGGTGGTTCGTGCTATGTATAGCCCACTTGCACTCTCCAACACCGTGCCATGCTTGTTCGACCCCGACCCGTGCTCGGATGCTGGCCCGAACGTCGAGTCGGATCCGACGTACTCATTGCGGAAGACAACCGCACTAGCATGGGCCTGTGGCAAAACAAACGCAGCCAAGTTAGCAAAGACGGCCCCGCTCCGACTGGGACTGTCCGTGCACGTACGGCAGATCACCCTGGACATGCCAAGCCATGAACGTTTGAACCGTGAACCGGGGCACGTCGCGGCGAGTTTGGGTGGGGGGCAGGCAGTGGATAGACTGAAGCTTGAAGAAGCGGCTCTGATTGGCTCGACCGATCTAAGCGATAGATATAGATAACGCCCCGAAACAGCCATCCTCACCTCCAGCCATGTCCTCCGCGCCCGCGCCCGAGAGCACGCTGCCCTACCCGCCGCTCCACAAGGACAAGAACTTCGTCGTCCTCTCCGACTGGTGCGCTCTTCCCTCCGTCCCCTTTCCCGATTCCTAACCCGACGCAGGGACGGCACAATCACAAACTACGACTCCAATGACTGTACGTGTCTGCCCATACTATCACGAATACAACGCGCTCATCCGGTGCCACACAGACTTGACGGACAACCTCGGCTTTGGCAAGGACAAGCGGCGCGAGGGCAACGTCGAGATCCTCTCCGGGCGCGTCACCTTCCGCGACGCCTTCCGCGAGATGCTCGAGAGCGTCGCCAACAACGGGCACACCTTTGACGAGTGCAAGGACGTCCTCAAGAAGAGTGCGTGTCCTGCCCTCGCTTACCTGCCCTTTCTGCTCACGACGCACGCAGACATCAAGCTCGACCCGGGCTTCAAGGACTTTTACCAGTACTGCAAGGCGCACGACATCCCCGTCATCATCGTCTCCAGCGGCATGGCCCCGCTCATCCGCGCCGTCCTCTCTGCGCTCATCGGCGACGACGAGGCGCAGGAGATCGAGATCATCTCGAACGACGTCGACGTCAAGCCGGACGGCTCGTGGGCGATCAAGTATCGGCATCCGACCAGGTGCGCCGCGCTCCCTTCACGCACGGGCGGCTGTACGAGCTGAACGCGCCGCAGCGGCTTCGGGCACGACAAGAGCCAGGCGATCCTGCCCTACCGCCAGCTCGCGAACCCGCCCACGCTCTTCTTCTTCGGCGACGGCGTCTCAGGCATGCCGTTCCTCCCCCTTCGCCCCCACCACACTAACCCCGCCCCGCAGACATGTCCGCCGCGCGGCACGCCGACCTCCTCTTCGTCAAGGTCAAGCCCGACAGCGACAACGACCTCGCGGCCTACTGCCGCCGCGAGCGCATCCCGCACGTCGAGTTCGGCGACTTTGCGCACGCGCTGGGCGTCGTGCGCGAGGTCGTGGAGGGCCGCGCGGGGGTGGCGCAGGTTCTCGCGCGGGGGAAGGCGGAGTGAGCAGGGGCGGAGGAGGAGCGGGGATCGATACGGAGGTAAAGACGCGTGCACTGCTAGAGCAGGACGGTGCCCCGGCGCCGGGGTCTCATAGAGTCGTCGTTTCTGTCGGTGTAGGGTACTAGCACATGCGAGGGGGTCTGGGGTCCCTGCGGTTAGTATTACGCTGTCTCCCTCTGCGCCGTGCGTGTTTGGAGACGCGTTCCTGCTTCCGGCCCTGCACGGCGTACTACTACCAGTATCCGAGTCTGCGCAGCCCGAACGCCCGCCCTGATCCCCCCTCAGCAATCACAAGAAGCTCTGTCAGCCTGACAGTCTGACCGAAGCTATGCAAGGAAGCTGAACTGCCAGGCCTATCCACGCTATTTTGGTTCCTATTTTCACATTATGCACTATCCTGGACACAGACCACAGAACATGTTTTGCTACAGCTGTTTTTACTGCAGGGTCTGACAGCTCAAAAGTCGACGTTCTGACGGTCTCAGCGGCTGGCGGCATTTCTCGCAATCTGATTGCCAGTGGTCGAACGAGGTCTGACGCCGTCAGGGCCTTCTTGTGTTTGCTGATGGAGGGCCGCTACGACAAACTGCCGTCGCAGGACCAGGACCAGCCTCCAGCGGTGGAGATGGCACATCTGCGACATGTTAACCTCCACTGTACAGGTTGCGAATGTTGTGTAGTGGAAGCGCCAAGACGAATGATTAGTGGATCTCACGTGTCACCAGCATGGCCTTCGCCCCTACGACGAGGGACCAGCAAGCTATAACAACAGCTGTGCGCTGGTTAACTTGGCTGTTCGGGTAATACTAGAATGTGAGACTCGCCAGCTACTGTAAATCTGGCTGTGATGTCTTTGAGGAAGTGCGCCAACATCGCTGCGATCGCCAGCCCAAAGAGAGCAGGGATTCCTCCGTAGAGGGCAAGCATCCACACGTCACGAGCTCGATGATGGGCGACGGGCGATGGGCGATGGGCCATCGTTCCCGATAACCGTCGACGTGTCCAGTGGGGTTGGGGCTGACGAAGGTACTCCCGTGCTGGTGTTCCCATCTGCGCCCCCTGGGACGGGTGCTCCAGATGGCCCACCGTTGAGATTTGACCCATTAGAAGTTGCGACCGACGACGGAGTGTCCGGCTTGGACTCCACGATATAGTATCTTCATCCTGATCATTCAACATAGAATATCCAGGATGCGGGGGACCAGCATTCGAGGCATCCAATCCGACGGCTGCAAGCATGCCCGGCTCAAGATCCTATGCAGACCGCACTGAGTTCTGCGAGAGGCCATGCCTGTCCACAGGCACCGGGAATGGAGGGGGAGGCTGGATCGGAAGACGGGTGTCGGACACATGCGACCTAGCGACCGGCGCTGGTGGGGACAGGTGGGGTGTAGGGAAGAGTGCAGTCCCCCTTGAGCACCGCGAACGTTCATATCCTCCTGCAGCGGTCGAAACTCCCTCCGAGAGCGTCACATCCCGTTGCTTCGCATCCCTCTCCATGGGTCCTCCGAGTACCCGGATGTCCTTCAACGAGGCGAGATGTAGCGGGGGGAGATTCGATGGTGGCGGAGCTGGGAATGCGCCACCGTTCGCTGCCTGGCCCTCCGACCGTGGTAGACGCTGGGCCAGCGGGGGAATCCATGAGGTCGTACTTGCAGTGGGCAAACCCCGATTAATTGCTGGATTACCTAGCAGTACCTGGCTGTCCGAAGACAAGGCTAGCGGTGGGTGGGTGGGGGGACCTGACGGGGACGCAGCTGACGAGACCACAGCATTTGATACCATATTTATAAGCGCTCGTATACCGTAACTGAATTGCCCTAGTGCCGATGTGATTAGTACGTGGTTCTAGCAGGAAGATTTTACTTACCAGCAATGTCTATCTGAGGGATTGTCGCTGACGTTCGTTCAGGGTGCTGGGGGATGGGAATATTTGAAGATAGAATCAAATCATTTCGAACAGGACCAAGCTCTACGTCGGGTGGAGTACTAGTCTCCTGTTGTGTGCAATCAAAACATTGCCAGAGGCGTTTGAAAGCCGCGGCAGTGGTCAAGACCGTCGGGACTAGCGAGAACATGAGGGCGACCGGGGTGGTGGACAAGGATGAGCCCTAGACTGTCATACTTATCGGTAAGGATTAAATCGACATAAGTCGGCCTCGTGCCAGTCCCCGTGTGTGACGAGTGCGTGTGCACATCGGAGACAGGAAACCTCGAGGCGGGGGAGCTCTTTTGAATGACTTCTCGCTAGAGGGGCAGATGAGTATGTCCTCAGATCCACAGCAGCTCACACAACCTTCAGGGGAGCCTACTTGGTGAACGGACATCGAAAACGTCGTTGAACCGCGTGGCAAGGAAAAGAGCTTGAGATTCGAAAGGCGTCACCTGTTTTTTTAGAAACGGAGATTTCATAGCAATACGACAATCAGTCATTGCAGGATAAATTTAGGAAAGACCTGGATAACCGCAGATACACCTCGCGAATGCAGACATAAATTAATGCCAAGGTCGGCCTTACCGTCCGACTGACTTTCGGCCAGCACACTCTCATATTCCCGCGCATGTTCGGCCATGGGAGCGTCAACATCAGAGGTAAGGTATCGCCGGAGGTTGCTGATGGCCGAACAAGGTCTGGGTATATCCAACGTCAACCTAGGCACTGATGATAACAAAAAAAGTTCAAAGACGAAGCGTACCGGTTGTGCCAGCCCCAGTTGTCATCGTGGATAAGCTACGATTGATAAAAGAGGATGGATGATGAAACATCGCAAGAGTACAGGCCATCCACCGCCTGTCTGCCTGTGTCGCTATTGCGTCAAAGAGAGCATCAGCGTCGCAAGCAAAGACCTAGCTGCTTTCTCGCACCTCTGTCTGTGATGCAACCGCAAAGCTAACAGAACGACGCTCATACCCCACGTATATGATGGGTCCCATCAACTCTGTTTATGCTCATCTGGCTGAGCAGTTTGGTGTTTTGTCTGAGCTTTGGGTCTGAGGTGTAATTCGTAAAACCTTTCAACCGTATGGAAGTGAGAAAACATAGGAGTGCGAGATGGTACAACTTGGGTTTCCCTTTGATTTACCGCTGTAAAGGAAGGGACTTGATCTAATGATCACCTATACCTTGGTAGGACGAGGAATTGAGAAATGATCCATCCTTTTTCACTTGAAAGCTGATTCCTCACCTCCGGATATAGAGAATAAGCAGTATTTACAGAGTTCAATATATTACATGTCAAAGATATAAATTAAATGCAATTTATGAGGGAATAACAATGGCCTTTGTCTCACATGGTGATTTTCACCAATTTCTTGGGTACTGTCAAGCCCGCATTTTATGCCCGTGTAAATTCACCCGCTTTCTGGGTGAAATGGAATAGGTAAATTTCAACCGTGCAATCACCAGTACCCACTTGTCACTCACTTTCTGGGTGATTCACGAATTTCACCCGGTTACATGGTGAAATTACCCGTCCTTGGGGCTCACAGTGCGTATGTCATCAGTGCAGAGCTACAGCTGATGCCAGTCAGAGGAAACACATATTACAGCAATCCGCAAAACGATACGGAATCGCAACCTCCAGGAAATACGACAAAATAGACAAAAACTTATCGTGCATAAGTCCGACGTGAGGGACGAACGTCGGACTTAGTACAGTACTAGTGTGGCTTGGGCGGCGGCTGCGGGCCCGGGAGAGTCTTGAGTTCGTGGGAAACGCGTGGTCACACGTGACCACGCGTTGAGTTGTGGCTGCCTGAGCCACACATGTACATGCGCCCTCCTACCAAGTCTGCGCGGAGTACGTGATGAAGAGTTATGGAGGCAGCAGCACGCACAGTGCGCCCTACACAACTCACCTGTATTGGTTGGATGCTGTAGCTACTGGTAAAGCTCGTATGAACGACCCTTTTTTTTTATTAGGCAGCAGAGCTGCAGGGTTTATATACACTGTGGCCCATAGGCTGACTAAGCTACGTGGAATATCTATAATCCTACTGAGCTCCACCTATGATGTCACTGACCCACATGAGCTCCGTGCCCTTGTACAATAATGGAATATACCAGAATGTTCCAGAGGGTTCCGGTACGTTCTGGTACGTTGTAGAACCTGGCAGCTAAGTCAGCGCCCAGTTCAACAGTACGCAGTCTCTAGATAATAGAAGCACAAATACAAGAGAATTTAAAATCACGCCGACCTCCCACCGTGTTGCACCTGACGCACGGCTTTCTTCCATGGAGGTTCCAGCTCATGAACATGCAACTCGGTACGTGTCCTCCTGCATACATTGTCTTTCTCGCAGGGCCAACCAACATCCCATTCACAGCGCTAAAAAGCCGTGGAGCAGCACTCTGCCCGACCGCCCGCCCGCCGCGCAGAAGATAGCAGAGGCGGAACAGCAGATCGCTCGGTACGAGCTGGAGCTCGCCCGGCTCAAGCGCGCACGGAACAAGCTCCCGCCCGTCGGGCATCTCCCCATGGAGCTTCTCTTGCGCATCATCAGCCTTGCCTGGGTAGAGCGCGCCTTCCACGAGCCAGATTGGCTGGTGAAGATCACCCACATGTGCAGCGACTGGCGCAGGCTCGCGCTGGGCGCGCCGGCGCTATGGGCGCACGTCGGGCTAGAGAATCCGCGGTACGTCCGGGCGGCGCTGGAGCGGAGCCGCGGGCTGCCCCTCACTGTGGTCGGCGCGCTCGATCGGGAGCGCCCCCTCGCCGTGGAAGCATGCAGAGCGGCCCTGGGCAGCTCAGCCGCATCTGCGCATTGGATCTTTGCACAAAGCACGTAAAGCCCGGGTTGTTTAGGAAGCTGAGCGGGAGGCAGGCGCCCCTGCTCGAGTCCCTGGCGCTCTCGGTGTGCGCGGGGGTCTACGACCCGCTCCCTGTTCTATCGGAGCTGGCATTCCCGCGGCTCCGGACGCTAGACACGCGCGTGGGGTTGCGCGAGTGCAGGGCGTTCTTCCTCCCATCGCTCACGTCCCTGTCCATAGAGCGTGGCGTCGGGCCGCAGGGAACGCTCGAGCTTTTGAGCGGCCTGCCCCTTCTTGAATCGCTGAGGGCCGAGATCCGGTTATGCGCTAGCTACGACGAATTGCCGTCGCAGGACGAGCCTGCAGTGGTGGAGATGGCGCGTCTGCGGCACCTCTCCCTGGAGGCACCCCTTAGCTCGTGCTGTGTGCTCTTGGGGAGCATCTCATGCCCAGCTGCGCTGGACGTCGCGCTTGTCATACCCTACTTAAACGACGAGGTGAGCGCCTGGCGATAGGTTCTCCGCTGCGCAACTCACCACATCCCCAGCGTTTCGCCGAGCCTCTCCGAGCTTGCTTGCTACGCAACATAGCCCCGAACCTTTGTGCGCGGAAGGTTGCTCTGACATGCCATGTCAAGGAAGAGGACGACTACACGGAGCGCTCGCACAAGGTCGAGGCATGGAGCGACGCGCATACGGCACGCTTGCCGACGTTCTCCATCTCCATATCAGACAACTGCCACGAGGGCGTCGGCAACCCCGACGAACTCGAAAAAGAACTGCTGGACATCGCCCTGCATAGCACGACGCAGGCAGCGCAGGTGGACTCTCTCCACGTCGGTAGCGCTCGCATGTCTTCCGCGGAGTGGCGGCGGCGGTTCGGGCATCTGACCAATGTCGCCAGGCTGTGCGTCGCCGGTGCGGACGCGGGGTTCCTCGACGCCTTGTCAGGCGGGGCGGCCACCCCGGAGGGAGAGCAAGCACCCGCACGTCTCGACGCCGCGCTCCTCTTTCCCCACCTGCAGAGCCTTCGCATCGAGGAGGACGACCGCGGCCCCTACACCGGGGACTTTGTCCGGGACCTCGCGCGCGCTCTCCGCTCACGCGGCCACGACTTGGGGGCGCTCGAGGTCCGCGGTGTGCGGGACTGCGCAGAGCAGCATCGCGCGCGTCTGTGCGAGAGTGCGCGGGAGGTCGCTCTGCGCCCGCCAGCGAGTCTGAGCGTTGCCGAGGGGTGTGACCAGGTGAACGAGGGTCGTCCCGCCGGCCAGAGTGAGCACGCAGGCGAGGATCAGGACGTCGTGGGGGACGCGACGTCGGACGAGGAGTCCGGAGCGGAGAGTGACTACAGTTCTGATTCAGGTTATTGACTAGGGTATACTTACCTGTTTGTGTTCGTCTTAGACTTCCCTACATCCGTCCCAGTCTGATTTATATAAGCAATGTTCACTGAGTGGGAATCTAAGCAGACACTGAGCTTAAGCGAGCGAGAGACGCTGACTGTCCACACAGACGGTAGTTTGATCAGAGCGAGGGACTGCGCGCGACCCGCTCCAGGACATGAAGCACCGTACAGCCATCACACCTCTATTCATCGGTGGCAGTGATTTATTGGGGTACAGAAAACAGGACGTACAACCACCCCCTGACGGTCTCTCGCGTACTTACCCCCTCTCATAGGGTTAAGTTGTACTCATATTCCGAGCTGCTGCTCTGCGCGAGCCAGAGGACCACCGCCGACAGCATGAAACACACGTTCTGCGACATGTTCGCGTACCCGTAGTAAAGGAACTGCTCCGGGTACTCGTGGAGATAATACTTCAGAACATGCAGAGCCTGTCATGCATGAGTCAGTTATAACATCTTCGCGACACCATACCCCCCATATCGCTACGCAGATGGAAGCGAAAGCACTCACAATACTGCCCGCCAAGCCGCCCGCCATGAACGCGAACCCAATGAACAGGAACAACCGCGCGCGCCACACCGCGCCGCCGTCCCCGCTGAACGCATCGTCGCCCCGCACGCGGTCCTTGTCGATCAGGTTGACGATGATGAAGCCCAGCACGGAACAGATCCCGGGGACCCAGTCGACGAAGGTGACGTGCACGGGCACGCCGTACGCGGGCTCATCGGAAGGCGGACGCGCATGCCGCGAGAGGATGGCGGCGTCCCAGAAGGTCCAGCAGGCGAATGCGAACTGGGTGCCGGGTAAGGAGAGTGTTTGGGCAACGGCGGGCAAGGGGGGTACTCACGAGGGCGCCGGCGAGGTAGACGCCGATGGAGCGCTTGTGCTTGTCGAGGGAGACGTTGGGGAAGGGGTTGACGCAGACGCGCCGCGGGTCGTAGTTGCTTCGCGGGAGGGACATCGTTGGCGGCGGCGGTAGGAGTTGTTTGTTCGTCGTTGCCCGCAGCGGCGAAGGCGAGGTCGGAGGCGTGGGAGGTGCTGTCCACCGGGGACTTATCGGGAGGACCGGGAGACTTCATAATCTTAGTGCGCGTTTACTCCGGTCCTTCCGACTCATTGAATCGCCCACGCTTGTGTTTTACGGAAGTCAATCATCCCTCCTGATCCTGCAGCTTTTCCTGCACTGGTCTTGTACTCTAGAAATCTCCCTGCACGGAACGCAGAAAGTGCGTTCAAGCGACTGTAACCGTACGATTACTCTCGGGCTTGGCAGAACATAGGCAGACCCGTAATTATCCTCGCTGCCGGGCTGCTTCGACAGCCCTACACCCACTACATCAACAAGGTGAAGCATCTGGGCATGGCGCTGCTTGCAGGAGCCTCGGATAGAGAGCCAGCACCTGCAGAAACGCTCCCACCAGAATTATGGCTTCACATCTTCGATATTGCCATAGACAATCTGGGGGAGCTACACGCCCAATGCGTCGTAAGGTTCTCGTGAGGTCGCAGCCGAGGTCTCGCGTCGACCTTGCTTCGGAAGGCCCGGTAGACCCCGACGTGACCTTGTTTCGGCATTTCTGCCCAGAGATGTGTGCGCCATCATTTGAGATGTCAGCGCTAAGGTCAGAGCGGCGTCTTCTTGAGACTTAGCGAGGGACATCTGAGCAAGACCGCCCTGATACCGAGTTGACATCCTCTTTGGGCTTTACTGGACATTAGCTCATAACCTCAGGTAGAGATGATACCTTGCGCTGCATATAAAGCCTGTACCTTGGACTACAGGATGACTTGAGGCCTCGAAGTATTTTAGGTATTAATAATATTGATTAGAGCAACCGGAACAGATGTAGTACTACAGCGTAAGGAGTGCTACACAAGTCCCCACTATCCGTTTGTGGGACTTAGAGAAATATCAAGGACGGGACGTGTCTGACGCGAACTGAATTGGAGCGGAGATTGAACTCGAGCGACTTCACCCGTGGTTCAAGTCGTTCCACTTCTTCAACTCCGTCTTTCACTCTCACTCGTACTCTCACTCTCACTCCGATTTCCCGCTCCTTGTCGCTGACTCGCCTGTCCGCCGCACCACGAGACAGTTGACTGCCTGCGTGACAGAGCTCTGGCTGTGACGTCCAACACTCATTGCTAACTGGTAAGTGATGAGGAACTTTCCCCGACATGTCACTCACATTCATACAGGAACACTCAGAAGGATATTTTATTCACTCAAACATTGAGCTTTGGTTGGTGGAGTGCATCTGGGGTCAGGGTGAATCGGGTATGTGTATTGTAATATCATTATGGTCTATGCTCATGATCACGTCCAGAATGTGCT